GTATGCAAATGAACTTTTCTAAATGAAAGAGTTTTTAGCAAGTACCAACTGAATCTGTAGCGTACAAAAAACAAAACAAAATGTGGCTGTCTGCCTGGCATTGACGGATCCATCAGAATAATGTGTCCTTTGACGATATGGGAAATTTTGAAATATTACTAGATAACCAGCTGTTATTCTACAGTGATGGATACTCGTAAAATAGGGTATAGTTTGATATCGATCTCACGATGTACGGAAAATGACATCTCGCTCCTGGTTTTGGGTTGGAGGGAAATACTTGGCGCCTTATATAGAAAATTTGGTTACGAAAAGTTATTCCAAGTGCGAGTTTATACCCTATTTCACGAGTATCCAACACGGTAGAATGACAGCTGATTATCTAGTGATATCTGAACATTTCCCATATCGGCATAGAACACGTAATTTTGACGGATCCGCCAACGTCAGGTAGTTATAGCCGTATTTTGTTTTGGTTTTTTGTAGGCTAAAGATTCATTTTGTACTTGCTAACAGCTCTTTTATTTAGAAAATTTTATTTGCATACTAAAAACAAAACGCTACAAGTTTTACTAGGTTGACACCCGATTCATCATTGCCAATGACGCAGACTAACACAAAAATGGCACTTTCTGATAAGCTGTTCACCTCAGTAGACGTCAAAGCGTGATGGATACTCGCGACATAGGGTTCTGAGTTGTTGAGTTTGTGGTGGATGTTATTTAAGGTAGTGTCTAGTGATATTTAATAAAGAAAGTCGGTAGTAACTTTAATAAGAGTTTCATTTGGGTAGTTACAGTGTCCGATTATTTTGAGTAATCTGTTAGTAGAAATATTTCTGCCGCGTTTACATCGATATTTTACTATAATTCTGCAATGGGTTCATCTTCATCAAACTCTGACCGAGACGTGGAAGTTTTCGAATAGCATCGTACGCGTCGTGCCGAGAATCGTTATTATATCAAAATCTGAATTATCTGAACAATATATACTAAGTGACATATAAATCCGAACACCCAGTTTAAATGGTTTTATTTTAATAATAGTTGGTGAATGTATTTATCTTACTGTAAATAACAAGTGAAAAAATTTTCAGCCTTATCAGTTGGACATTCCGGTTTTTATACTGCTTTTTTTTAATTCACTAACGCTCTAAAAATGAATATTTCAGCCGCAGTAAAGAATCAACGTTGGCGGATTTTGGTTCTTGACATCCTTTACGATCGGTTACGATGCCTACAGTACGGAGACCTGTACGATTTCGTCAACTCGTGGTTAGGTGTTGTCAGGCTTGGCTTCGAGAAGGCCGTACGCAAAGAGCAAGGGGCACTGGATGCCGCCGTAGAACAACAGACCGTGAAGATCGCCGCCTAAGATTATTGGCCTTAAGGGACCGTTTCTCCACTACCAGGTCCATTGCAAATGAATGGTTTGCAGAACACGGAAGACCTATTGGCATGCGAAGTGTTTGCCGATGAATGAGAAGTGTTGGCTTGTTTTCATACCGGCCTCACTGGGTCCTCCCTTTAACTCGAGAACACCGACGTAAACGCCTTGAGTGGTGCAGACAACGGTCACTCTGGGATCAGGAATGGAACAGTATTGTCTTTAGTGACGAGTCTCGATTTTGTTTAGGCATGCACGATGGTTGTGCCAGGGTTAGAAGGCGACGTGGTGAAAGGAAGAATCCACAGTTTTTTGTTGAAAGACATGTTCAACACATTGTTGGAGTTATGGTTTGGGGTGCTATAGCTTATGGTTCCAGGTCACCTTTAATCTTCATCAGAGGTAACATGAACGCGCAGCGTTATATCCACGAAGTTCTAGAACCCCATCTTTTACCCTATCTTGACACCCTGGCAGATCCAACTTTCCAACAAGATAATGCCCGACCGCATGTTGCAAGAATCACAATAGACTTCTTTCAACATAATGATGTCACATTGTTACCATGGCCACCAAGATCTCCCGACTTATTCCCAATTGAGCACGTGTGGGATATGATGGGTAGGAGATTGCTCAATTTGCAACGTCCTCCTCAGACTCTAGAAGAACTTCGAGAGGAGTTGGTGGTTGCCTGGAATGAGATACCACAGGAGGACATTGACCACCTGATCAGAAGAATGCCTAGGCGCGTTGGAGAATGCGTAGCACATCAGGGTGCATCCACACATTATTAAAGGTCAAAGGGCTTTAAAGCAGTGCAATTATTTTGAAATTCTTATCATTTACTTATTATGCTTCATTAAGTACTTATACAAAATTTTATTAAAATAAAACCATTTAAACTGGGTGTTCGGATTTATATGTCACTTAGTATATATATGAGCGGTAGTCATTGCCAAAGCCAACGACCAGTTGGGTACAAAATACAATTAATTGTTAATTGGGAAATTGGCAAAACTCTTAGGCTTAAGTTGACTCTTTTGACGATAAAATCAAGCTTTCGGCATTCTCTATGGAGCCTTCATCAGGATTCTGAAAACACAATTGTGATGCTAGCAAAGAAAACAGGACAGATTTAAATTGTCAGACAACTTACACGTCGGTGAGGTTGCAGCCACAAGGTGTTTCAGAACGAACGTAGAGAAGATCGAACTTATAATCAGTATAAAAACAAAAGTACAATGACATTGGGTTTGTTGTAAAACGACAGATACCTTCGTTAAATGATAAAAATATCAATTCACCCGAACAAGTTAAAAATATTACACGTGAAACGACATTTTGTTGAAACAATCGGAATGCAGTCTCTAACTTTCTGTTTCCGCTACACGTGGAGAGGGGGACGGCACGGAAGATAAAGCGTCGACAGATGACAAGTGATTGATATATATATATATATATATAGGTACTCAGTGACATTAGAAGTGTTACACCCAGAAAAAATAATTTCTTAACTTGATTTTTTGGCAACATAATAAGTATATTTAAAGCTGAATGCACATATGCAACTACAAAAGTAGAGACACATGCCCATACATCCGGATACGGGTGTAACCTGAGGAAACAAAGATGGAGAGGAAAAAAAGTCACACGAAGTCCACAACAAGAGCCAACCTACACATTGTAGTTGCATATGTGCATTCATTTCGGGCCTGATGAAGCCAACCAGCAGAAATACGTATCGCTCGGGTTACCTATCCTATTTTCTGCTCGAATCCACTTTTTGCGGATTTTGTCTATTATTTTCCTATTTTTGTTATATACCTTTCTTCGCATGATAATTTTCTCTTTGTAGATCCTTTGGGCTTGAAGTACCACAGCAAGTGGCTATAACCGGCCGCGTGGTTGTGGTTATTTGTCGCCTTGAAAATTCGAGGTCTTCTAGCCATTTTATACTACAATGTGTAGGTTGGCTCTTGTTGTGGACTTCGTGTGTCTTTTTTTCCTCTCCATCTTTGTTTCCTCAGGTTACACCCGTATCCGGATGTATGGGCATGTGTCTCTACTTTTGTAGTTGCATATGTGCATTCATTTCGGGCCTGATGAAGCCAACCAGCAGAAATACGTATCGCTCGGGTTACCTATCCTATTTTCTGCTCGAATCCACTTTTTGCGGATTTTGTCCATTATTTTCCTATTTTTGTTATATACCTTTCTCCGCATGATAATTTTCTCTATATATATATATATACGTAGTCATGCCATAAGTTCTGTCCCTCGTTTTCAAACAAGTGTAGACCTGTTAATACTTGTCCGATTGTTTACATTGTGGTGTCAGTTGATTAAGCGCTTTTCGGGTAATTACATATACCTCAGTTTGTATTGATCTCTCGAAGCATAACGATGGAGTGGGGCAAGGCAGAGAACCGTATTGCAGTGATAGCTTTACATAAGTGTAATCACAGTGCTAGTCAGATTTTTGAACTCTTACGCGGCCTTCAAATATCGCGTAAATTTGTGTCTAGGACCATTCAGCGGTACAATGAGACGTCCTCTGTTGATGACAGGCCAAGAAGCGGAAGACCTCGTCAAGTAAGGACTCCAGCAGCCATCAAAGCCGTAAAAGCCAGGATTCAAAGGAATCCACTCCGGAAGCAGAAGATCCTATCCAGGGAAATGAAGATTCCTGTCCGGACGATGTCGCGCATCATTAAACAAGACCTAGGGCTAGGGGCTTACCGGAGACGTACGGGCCAGCGACTTACGGCCACCTTGCGACACATCAGGGCGACAAGATCCAAGAAGCTCTTGGAGAGGTACGCAGCTGGGGGATTCCGAAAGATTTTGTTCACGGATGAGAAAATCTTCACCATAGAAGAAAAATTCAACCGACAAAATGACAAAGTGTATGCAAGGAGTTCACAGGAAGCTTCGGAGATCATTCCGAGAGTTGAGAGAGGCCACCACCCTGCGTCAGTCATGGTTTGGTGGGGGGTGTCCTACGAAGGGGTCACTCAGCTCCATTTCTGTAAACAGGGCGTGAAAACAAAAGCGGCAAACTATCAGAGCGACATACTGGATCCTATCGTCAAGCCTTTAAGTGGTACATTGTTTGCCAACCAACACTGGGTCTACCAGCAGGATTCCGCCCCCGCTCACAAGGCTAAGAGTACGCAGCGCTGGCTGGAAAGCAATGTGCCAGAGTTCATTGCTGCGGAAGATTGGCCCTCAGGGAGTCCGGACCTCAATCCTTTAGACTACAAGTTGTGGGACCTGCTAGAGCAGTTGGCCTGCTCCAAAGCCCACCGTAATATCGAGTCCCTGAAAGCGGATTTGATCCGATCAGCGGCAGCTATTCCTTTGGAAGCTGTGCGTGCAGTGATAGATGAGTGGCCCGCGAGATTGAAGCAGTGTGTGAAGGCCAAGGGGGGACATTTTGAATAAAACTGTTTGATTATGAATTCTAAAAATGTTGTCGAATAAATAATATCTTTCATATAAATATGTCTTATCTTGTTTCATTTTTATCATGAGATTATCATGGGACAGAACTTATGGCACGACTACGTATATATAAAAGGAACACTATGGTCTGTTAATTGAAACAATGTAAGTTAAAACAATCTACTATACCTTTATTGATAAATATAAATAAAAATAAAAATTCGTTTAGAAACATTAGCAGTTATAGGAATGTTTCGCATTTTTCCCAAACAAGGGTAAAAAATATAAGGAATAACTCGCATACTTATAAATGAGTATTATAACTTAGAAAGTACACATACATATAACAAAATACGAATTTATTGTACATATAGACACAAAACATAGGGGAACTGTTTTCACATAGGTTCTACTGGATCTGATATGTGTCAGGATTTCTATAATACAATATTATCGCAAAATTTATATACAATTTGTACACAATGTTTTGTGCTTCACAATCCACATATTTAGCATTTTGTTTATCACAAAATAAAACAAGTATTTTCATTATTTGAAAGATTATATATTTAACTAATTGAACAATATTATATATAACTTATTTTAAATTACATATCATATATAACCTTCGACAAGTCTTCGGAACAAGCCGAATTATTTATCAAATGCCAAAATCTAAGTATCTAAGAATTTAGAACGTTCTAGGTCGTACATTTTCATCTATAACACCATACAGTAAATAAAAAACGGTTCAGAATTTTAGAACGTACTGTCTTACCAAATGAGTGGATGTTTGTCCATTTGAAAAAATCCTCTACATAAACCTATGTGAAAACTTAGAATGGCACCGCTAGAATATGTTTCATTTCATTATTTTGAGAAACTATATTCTTAAATCAACTATTTCTATAATATTGATCTTGTATAGTGCGAACAAACTACTTTGGTAACTTTTGCCCGATTTACAAAATGAAAGTAAAAAGTAGCAAAATACTAAAGTAACCGAGGAAAAATAAAATTACGAGGAAGAGATAAGTAATATCTTGTTTTCATATTAGCGTCTACTTTCAATTAAGTTCCATGTGTTTTATATTAATAATTAAAATCATAGTATTATTAACATGTTCTAGCAGTGCCATGGCTGGGTCATTCATAAACCAATAACATTATAGTCCAGTCACTGTATGATTATACCCAAAAACAAGGTTAAGGAAAGCTGAGATCAATTTACAACATGATACTCAAGGGGATAAAACAAATAAATAATGAGGTTACAGTATAAAATACAGTTATTGTTGTTTTGCTTCTCCTTTGATGCCAGTGTTAAATAAAGGTTTTAAACTGAATTTAATATCGAATTAGGTTTGGCATTTCAAATTAAAATAAGACATGTCTGTATTTGCGTTTAGTTTTTATCAAAGTTTGTGTCTTGATATCCACTTAAGCATTTAGGATAGTTTCCTAGATATTAATTACATTACTGCTAGTATTGGTATTCGCAATTTCATTTTTCAATGTAATGTTAAATTAGCAACTACGTTTTAAAAACAGGAAAACTGTAACATTTTCAGCATTCCCTAACCTTCTAAAGGATACGTTCCGCTACTGCTGCTTATAAAAATCTTTAACCACTAGGACACCAGTGTTTTAGGAAGCCATTCATTGGAAATATACACAGTTGGCCACAACTTATTCTTCCCCGGTGGTTTATAAGAGACATTCCAGAGCTATACGCGTCGCGCTCTCTAACGTCGATTTATCGGGTAAGTGGTATTGGTATAGTGCACATTATATACGAACGAAAATCGCGCGCTTACTTTCTTTTACAGGTCGACATTCATAATCGCTTTAAATGGCTTTATGTCAGGCGGCCAGTAAATATGGAGATTCAACATCACTCCAGTATTCAGGTTTAGGTGAATGGGGAGCTCAACGCTGCGGCCATGATGTGGAATTCATAAGCTCGAAGATACCAAACTTGATAAATTGTTACAATATTATATATTTAACTAGTATACTTCTAAGAAATTTGTTGTATACTTTTTAATTCATAAGTTCAGTTTAAACCCAAGCACAAGTATATATTTCTAGACACTTTATGTTCATTGAACACTGCCGTTATAATTTATTCGAAAAATCTGTAGTTAGACCAATAAACATTGTCATTATTGTTATTGTTATCCGCTGGAGATAACCAGGGTGGTCTGAATAGTTTCCGACCTCAATGTGAAGATGGCACTCGTAAATAAAAGGTAGTGAATTTAGCTGTTCATCTGTTGACAGTTACTCGCCAAAGTGTCAGCTATTTTGGATGCGCAGTTGTTATGTTATAGTCGTTTGAGTGAGTTGAGGTGAGTATTTTTGTGAAAATGTACAAAATCATTAAATATTTGTTATTGAAAGGCAATACGCGCACGCAAATCAAAGATGAGTTTAAACCTGGCTTGGGAGACGATTAATGTTCTGGAAGTCCAAAAACGTGTCAAAAGAACGTGTTTGTCACATGTTAAATCAATATTTAGGTATGAGAAAGGTGTCCGCGCGTTGGGTGCCACGTCTGCTCACGTTAGACAAAAACGTGTTCGAATGAACATTTCCAACGCTCTATTGGCGCAGTTTATGTGCAATAAATCCGAGTTTTGGGGTCCATTAATTACTGTAGATGAAACTTGGATACACCATTATACGCCCGAAACAAAAATATAGTCCAAACAGTGGACTGCAAAGGGGGAACCGTTTCCAAAAAAGCAAAAACTATTTTGATATGTGACTGTTTTTTGGGATAGTCATGGAGTTATTTAAATCGATTATCTTAAAAAGGAAAAACCATTACAGGAGCATACTACGCATCATTACGTGACATGCTCAAGGCAGATGTTGCAAATGGCCACATTTGCTGAAAAATAAAATTCTGTTTCACCAAGACAATGCACCGTCTCACACCTTAGCGGTTGCCATGGCGAAAATCCACGAATTACGGTTTGAACTGCTTGACCAACCACCTCACTCACCAGATCTAGCCCCAAGCGACTTATTTTTGTTACCTAATCTAACAATTGCGCTTGGAGGACAGAGACTGACATCAAATGAAGAGGCAACCACTTTCGTGAAGAATTATTTTGCAGAGAAAAACGCCGAGCACTATTTGGACGGGTTACAGAGATGAAATCATCGCTGGGAGAAATATGTAGTTACAAGGAGACTTTGTTGAGAAATATAAAAAAACTCAGAAAAAATGTCTTGTATCTTTGCTAGGTCGGGAACTTTTATTTGTGAAATAAGTTACCTATACGCTTCTCTTCCAGTCAAGGTTTTTAAGAATAATTTAAATTATGCATTCCTAGTATAAGTCATACTTATTGGCTTTTTCAAATTGAGAGAAAATTGGGTTGTATCGGGCTACTTTTGGTGGAAGAGTGCCTTACAACGCATTGTCAATGTCGTGCATTTAGCGTCCGTGCAGTCAGGATAAATTAGAAAGGGGCAATCATTGCTCCCTTTTTTGCAGTCATAGATTTGCTTGAATTGACAAGCGTGAAACGCACGGGCTTTACGTATCTTCAAAAGTGACATTATGTCGGTTTTTTTGTGACATCTCTAGGGTTTTCTATAAGATATTAACTCAGCACTAGCTGATTGAGACAAGTGAACTCGTTTTGTAGTTGTACGTGTTGCCTAAACGTCATGATGCTTCAGTTATCAATATTTGGCTCTAATGTGATGTAAAATCTGCTTCAGAGATGGCAGTATAGGAGGTCTAAGCTATAAGTGGTATACTATAGCTAGAAGGCAACGGCAGTGCATAGGTGGATAGTGTGAGGAATTGTGTGCTAATAATATGTGTTGATGATAATTGCATTGATTTCTTGTGTCAAATACACTTACTTGAGATTCAATGCTAGAAATTCGTTGCGCCTCCACTTTTTCTTATTCATTCTGGAAATTACATATGTATATGCAAATTTCCTGAATTCAAAAAACGAGAGAGATAAGAAAAGAAAATATGCTACACACAGGACTATTTATGAAAGTGAAAAGGTTATTACATTATTTTTTATTTCCAGTCATTTAAATTTTATAGAAATTTATTTTGCGATGCCAATTGAAAATACAAATCAGCGTCTAGATGCGAGGCATTGCAAAATATTTGATGTATGATGCGTCATTCCTAATTTTTATGTGATGTGGCTTAATTGCACACAACGCGGGCGCAGTGGCGATTTCCCTCAAAGTTTTTGAGAAAGGACAACATATAAATAACCCGTCGGGCACAGCTTAATAGATATACTTCATTGGCAGCATATTCAGTAATAATGTTCTCACACAGCAAATATCACTGATTTTATACATGTACAGACCAATACACATAATCATCCAGTGCGCTCTTGCTATTCAACCAACTTTCTTTCTTTCACATCTCAGAGATGAACACTACAGACTACTCGCCTTCAGAAAACATATAGTTGATTTCTGCAACCAACAATGCGTATAGTTGAGTCATTCTTCCTTAGATGGACGCTCACAGCGATCATAGCGAGTAAACGTGGAATGAACTATTTGCACCCTAAAAACTACCTAGTCTGCAAGATGTCGTTTTATGTTTTTTTTGACGTTTCATAGGTTTTTTACATAATAGCCGTGCGCAGGGTTATTACGTAAAATACCTATAATGTCAAAAATCCGACAAAATGTCAACTTGCTGACTAGATAGCCCCTAGTGTGCGAATAGTTCATTCCGCTGTTGTTCTCACTGAGAAGATGTGACAGAAAGAAAATTGGTTGAGCATCAGAGTAGCAAGATCGCATCTAGATGATTATGTGGTGATAGCGAGTATAGGTCTGCATGTTTATAAAATCAGTGATATTTGCTGCGTGAGAAAATTATAGTGTATGTTATGTTAGCTGTACCTGACGGATTACTTGAATCGTCCTGTCTTTTGCGTTTTCAAAAACTTTGAAAAATCACCACCGCGCCCACGTTGTGTGTAATTAAGCCACATTGCAGAAAATATTAGGAATGAAGCATCACACACAAGACATTTTCGCAGTGCCTCACATCTATGGGCTGCTTTGTTTTCTGCTTGACATCATGAAATAAAATTCTACAAAATTTAAATGACAATTTTCATAAATATTGCTGTATGGAGCCTATTTTTTCAATTGTTTGTAGTAATATACTTCACTTACCAGCGATTTTTATTTTTAAATTCAGCAAATTTGCATATGTAATTTCCAGGATGAAGCATACATCTCAAGTAAGTATATTTGAGATAAGAATCTTCAACACAAATTATTAGCACACAAATCCTCACTATGCGTCTATGCACTGCCGATTCGCCCGTCCTTCCAGATATAATATACAACTTACAGCTTCGACCTTCAATAATGCCATCTCTGAAGCAGATGTTGCATCACATCAGAGTCAATCCATGATAGCTAAAGCGTCATGACGTTTAGGCAGCACGTTCAGCTAAACGAGTGCACATCAAGTAAACAACAGCTAGTTCCAAGTTGAAATCTGATAGTACATCATAGGTATATTCTTTAATTCACCGGTTGATTCCATGACTGATGGATCCGGTGAACTTATGGTTGACAGCTGATGTGATGACGTCAGCAACCGGTTCCGTTGAATGGTGGTTAATAAAAAGACGCATTTTTAGCCTTCAGGTTGCTGTCATATGAGAAAACCTAACCTTTATTTTATCGTGAATAGATACTTGTTAATTTGAACACCGTATCATTTAAAATCATTATATCAATGTAAGCAGCAGTTGGTATTGTCGTGGAACGTTTGTTAAGCGATTCGAGTGATAATTCGGATGAAGAAGTTATCCAGCGGAGAGAATGTGTGCTCCGAGAATCAATATAAGAACTATAAATCAGAAAACCAAGAAATTTCGATATCGACGGTCTCAAATCAATACCTCGTAAGTCCGAAAAATGACGATGTTCTGTTTTGATTCCTGTATGCATAAATCGACATTTTAGGACTTCCTGTATGCATACAGGAATAAAAACAGAACAAAACCAGAAAATCGACATTTTTAGACTGATGAGGTTAGATTTGAGATCGTAGATATGCATAATTCAAAACAAAATCACTTGCTTTTAGATGCTGTTTATTTCGAATTGTGTTAAAAAAAACATTAAACTTCACGCGACTTCTATGCTGTAGATAACTTCAATCTTTTCTTCTTCCATTTTTTCACACAAAACTGTAGTTGTCAAAAACTGATAAAATGTAGAGGTTAGAATATCGTGTATCAACCGAGCCCGAACGTCGGTGGATTCTGTTGGCACCGGTGGTATATCCACCATCAATATAAATACAAGTTTGATGTACAACCGGTCGTTCCAGCGGAAATTAAGGGACACAAAATTGGCTAACCGGTTGCACCGGTAGCTCAACCGGTGAATTAAAGAATATACCTTATGTCACAAAAACCTAATGTCAAAAAAGTCAACGTCACTTTTCAAGATATGTAATACCCCTGTGGTTTACTGAGTGATATTTTACGACAATGCCTGAAGTAAATATGACAACACATGCATCAAATATGTCCTAGAAGTAACAGTCGTATTTAAACGTTGGAATCGCTGACTTTTCTAGCTTTCCACCATCGCAAGGTAGTCTGAATGTCACTGTACACCACAAGTATCCTACCAGACAAAGACTTTTAAATCGTACAACAAAACACTGTAATTTATCTAACAATGATCGCGATGCATTATTCTAATGAGTTCAGTGTCAGTAACTGTTTGAGAACCTTCGTTTGCGAAGTTTCCCTGATTTCACCCGCCAAAAACATTTCGTCTACAACCGTGTACACCTTGTAAAAATTGAAGACAAGATCTAACTCACAAACGTTATGGAAGTATTCGTTGAGCACTTCGACGAAATTGTGGATAGCTTCAAGGTAATACAGGTTATTGTCGTTCACGTCCACGCATATGCAGAAATACAGGCCAGCGTATCGGCGGTAGACTATCTTGAAATTGCGAAACTGGAAAACAAATGATAGTAATAATGACTTGCTTTTATTCGCCTCCTTTACAACTACATTTTTATTTTAAGTAAGGGTGGCCAACTAAGGGCCGTATCGTCAATCATTCCTACAACTGTAGGACGCCTTTATGGCCTCCTTAATTTTCATAGTTTTCTACTCTTCCGTGTCAGCGCTTTATTTTGAGGTTATGTTACAAATATCTATTTGCATCAAATTGTTCATGCTTTTGATTTATATCATCTGTTATATAGCCTGCAATTTCTTACAATTCAAGAAGAAAACATGGCCTGACAATAGGAGAGCGCTGACGCTGACGCGGAACAGCAAAAATATAGAAATATCCCAGCCTTTCTGATGAAGAAGAAAGACAAGAAGTATGAAGGAGGCCATAAAGGCGTCCTACAATTGAAGGAACGACTGACGATACGGCCCTAAAAATGCGAGGTACTGTATCCGGGAACGTATCCATAGTAGAGGCTTGCGGCAAAAAAGTTCTTAGTAAAACGGCAAAGAGAAAAACCTGAAAAATATTTCAAGTTTCTGAAACGGCCGCTAGGGGGCGTAACTAAAATTTTGAATCTACAAAGGTGATGTTTCTGTGAATTTTGCTATCAAAAAAAGTACCTGACCTTTAAAGTCGAGGATAAGATTTTTTTGTTTGACAATTTTTTCTTTATTTCTAAAAATAAAGTATCTGTATCTTCGAAACGCTAGTTGAAAAAAGCTATTCTTAAAAAATTGAATGCATTGATATTTTTTATGTAAAAGTAGCTAAATGATGTCTAAACAACCTCGCGAAAACCGCATCTCATCTTGTTCCTAACCTAAAACTTAGACCAACGAAAATTTCATACGGAAATCCCTTAAATATTTATTTCTTTAAACTAATTTTTCTGGAATTATTGTTTATTCATCAGAAAAAAATCATTTTTTAAATATTACAAAATATCGCTAAAAGGTAAATAAGTAATGCTAATAACAAAAGGCATATTTTTGATTAAATGCATATTGCATATATGCCAAAGGAACCTAACGTTTTCAGAATGGATAGTACGAAGCTGTTTTTTGACGTAGAACATCGGTTACAGTGGGCAAGACATCGGTAGTAGATGCCATTTCAGTAGTCATGGAGCTGTGGACAAGTGAACATCGCGCATTTGTTGTCGAGACGTATTTTAAAAATCACGACTCTGTGATCATTACACAGCGTCTATTTCGAACACATTTCAATGTCGGACGTCATGGTTCTGTTCCATGCCGTAACACAATTAAGTTGTGGGTCAAAAATTTTCGTCGATCTGCATCAGCAATGAAAGCTAAGCCACCAGGAATGCGTCGAACAGTTCGGACTCCAGCCAATATTGAGAGGGTGCGAACAGCGGTGCAGCAAAGTCCACGTCGTTCAGCTAGGCTACAAGCAATTAGTCTAAGGCTTTCAGAAACAACAGCGCGGCGTATTTTGCATAAGGATTTACATTATCACCCTTACAAATTAGCGATGGTTCAAGAAATGACAGCTGAAGACTTTGTGAACCGTTTGACTGCAAGCAACCAGCTTCTGGAACTTTTGGATGAAAACGCTTTAGGTGGCTTAATTATGTCTGATGAGGCGCATTTCGAGTTATCAGGCTACGTAAATAAGCAGAATTTTCGCTACTGGTGTGCAGAAAACCCGAGAGAACTTCACCAGCGACCCCTTCATAGTCGCAAGGTTACTGTTTGGTGCGGAGTGTCGCGATTCGGCATAATTGGACCCTATTTTTTTGAGGACGACGCTGGAAATTCTGTCACGGTCAATTCGCAACGTTATCTGGAAATGTTAAACACATTTTTGGAACCAGAGCTTCGTCGACGGAACATAGATTTAAATGCTGTATGGTTTCAGCAAGATGGCGCCACAGCGCATACAGCACGAGCAACAATGGTTCTACTGCGAGAAATGTTTCCAGGAAGAGTCATTTCGCGGAATGGAGATGTTCCTTGGCCGATAAGGTCTCCCGATCTCACGGCTTGTGACTATTGGTTATGGGGTTATCTCAAAAGCAAGGTATATTTAACGAGCCCAAGGACCATTGAAGAATTGAAGGAAAACAGTCGCAATGAAATTAGCGCGATTCCGATGAGTATGGTACAGTGCGTAATGGGGAATATGCGAAACCGTTTGGAAGAGTGTGTCCGCAGTGAAGGACATCATTTGACCGAAGTTATTTTCCATACATAAAATTCGATTACTTATATATGAAAATAAATATCTTGAAAGATACATTTGTAGTTTCATATTGAAACTCATCAGGTTCCTTTGGCGGACCCTGTAGAAGCACGAATACAACAAAATAAATAACTAATCAAAACATAAATAATAATCGAATTGTCAGTGGTTGTCAATAATTTCGCGTTACTTGAGCCATTTTTGTGCTTACCAAATGCATTTTACGAACGATGAAGCTGTTAACATGCTTTGCAGTTTATTTTGAATGTCTTCAGAATGCCGCAGTAGCAAAAAGAGTTTAAGCGACTCGATATCTGAAACGGCGTCTTTGGGATGTGAGTTTTTTCCCCGGTTAGTGGCGAGTTTACGAGTCAATGGTAGTTTTCGGCCTACGTTTTAACGGCAAAGAATTGGAAGAACACAAGAAAATATTAACCGCGTACTGGGATACATTGAAGGAAATCCTCATGTTCGTACAAGGGCATTATCCCTTGAGTTGGGCATGTCACGAACAACGGTTCAAAATATTTTAAAGGACCATAAGTTCTAATGGCGATCAAAATATTGGGATATATTTAAATTTTACTTTTTTTTAATTACTTTTAGAATGCACCTATATCATGTCGTTTTGCATCAGGCCTTGAAAGAGGAAGACTTTGATCAGAGGTTGGACTATTGCCATTGGATGTTAGACATGATACGCGAAAATAGAGAAATTTTATTTCAAATTCTCTGGATCGATGAAGACCTTTAATAGTGACGGGAGAGCCAATCTGCACAATATGCATTATTGGTATGCAGAAAATCCGCATTGGTTGCGTGAAGTTCAGCATGAAGGGCGTTGGAGTTTAAATCTGGCATACTGGGAGGCAGAATTATTGGGCCATATTTTTTTGAGCAATCCCTAAATGGCAATGTCTTTCTTGACTTTTTGGACAATCAATTACCGTTGTTGGAAGATGTGCGAGAGAGCATATTAACAGCGGTGGATTGGAAGAGGAAGTCTGTTTCCATGGCCTTTGCGATCACCAGACTTAACTTGCCTTGATTTTTATGTATGGAGACGGTTAAAGTACAACGTGTCTCAGACGCAACCTACAACCAGAGAAAATATGAAAAACCGGATTCGTAATGCAATACGTATCATACCGAGAGCAGAAAGTGAAGCTGCGGTTTGGTCTATCCATGAGAGGCTTCAGGAATGCATAGAGCGTGATGGTCGGCATTTCGAGCATTCACGGGGGCAATAAAAACTGTTCTTTTTTTAAATCGGTCCTTTTTAGGCACAAAACTTAATAAAAAAAAAAGAAATTCCAGAAAAATTAGTAACAATTCAAGGGATTTCCGTATAAAATTTTCTTTGGCCTAAATTTTAGGTAAGGTACAAGATATCTGATGCGATTTTCGCGAGCTTGTTTAGACATTTAGCTACTTTTTCACCAAAAAAATCAGACCAATGCATTTTTCAATTATGTTCTGCAAGCTGTTATCGGTGTAGTAACAAATTAAAATTACAACTATTTCATAGAAGCTACCAATCGCCGTAAGAAAGTAAGAAGGCTATGACAATTTAGGATGTTTTTAAATAACATTTATTTGAAAATAATAGTAGGCTGTGGAAAACAAATGAAAGTCAATTCATAGCATACCCATTATTGTTTAGTTATCTGACGTTTGGCAATCTTCGTTTCACTTAAATTTACTTTCACTTATTCCAATTCCGTATAAGGTAAACCTACAATGTGTTTTGACTACTTTTTACAAGAAACAAGCAAGTTGATATGCTATTAATATTCGGTGAATGCAGAAAAAATTCGAGACATGCTTGTGAGTTGTACGCTCGGCTATATTCTAATCGAAGACATCCCAGTTATTCATACTTTTTCAAGTTAGAAGCAAAGTTTAGAAATGAGAATGTCAATGATGATGAAGAGAACTTTTCGTAGTAAGTGACGAAGCGGAGATAAATGTTTTGGCAAGTGGGAACAAGCAACAAATGCAAATCGTGAGTGTCGGCTAGGCAGATTTTGAAGAAACATGGATTCCGCTCATATAAATATCAGGTACGCCATCACTTATATGAAAATGATTTTCCAAGAACATTGGCCTACTGAAACTGGTTTTGTGCTCAACTTCAAGAAGATAGAAATTATCATTATCATATTTTTTGGTCTGATGAATCGTGTTTCACGAATCTTGGGTTATTTAATAAATATAATACATGTTACTGGGCAACTGAAAATCCACGTTTGGAGTGAACGTGTGGCTCGGAGTTCTGGGAACCCGCATAGTTGGTCCTATATCTTTATGAACCCTTAAATGGGGGAGATTATCTTAACTTTTTGCAAAATGAAATAGAAGATTTTCTTGATGGTTTGCCCCTGGCTTACAATAGGGATGTTGTATTTGAACAAGATGGGACGCCCGTCCACAACAGAAAAGAAGTTACAAGATATTTAACGGATAGATTCGGAAATCGTTGGCTGGGAACAAACGAATCTATTAGGTGGCCCTCACGTTAGCCCGACTTAACCATTTTAGACTGTTTCAAACAGCGAATAATGGCAGCAATTAACACCTTATCTGAAGATACTTTAAACAATGGGCATGCAGAAACCAAAAGAAGGGTCAATAAATGCTACGAAAATAATGGAGAATGCATTGAACTGTATTAGCTTTAATAAATTGTTAAGCTCATGGACAAGTTTTATCTTGTATGAGTGAAATTTATTGTCTTTCAAAATTCTTTGTACTGATGAGCGTGTGAATACTGAAAAAGTAGCAAGTG